CAAACTGCGAGCCCGACAGTGCCCGGGAGACGGAGAGGCTGCTGAGCACCATGGTCGGCTGAGCAGCCCCCGTGCTTAGTCCTAAGCGCTGGGCGGGCCTGGTTTAATCCCGTCGAGCACTCTTGCGCTAAGTACCATTGTCCCCCTTTGTAGACAGGGGTACCAGTGAGAACCACCATCATAATAGGGACCCCTTGTATTGAGTTCTTTCCAAGGCCAGAAACCCTCACTTGCCAATTCTTTTTTTTTTTTTTTTAACTTGTTAATTCTTGATGTAGGCTTCAATGTCCCATTTTTCAGATGAGGAAACTGAGGCCAAGGCCACACAAAGTGAGCAGCAGAGGCAGAAATAACATCTTCATTTTCCTCACCCCAAAGCATGTTCTTAGAGTTGTGGGAGCCTCCCCAGGCCTCCTTGCCATTCCCTTGGGCCCTGCCCTCTCCCTGGCAGTGTTCCTGCCCCACCTGGGCAGGCTGTTCTGGGGCTCATGAGCCTGGTCTCGAACTACAGGCGCTGCACTGGCACAGCGGCAGCATGGGTGACGTGGAGCAGCACGAGGGCACCATCCAGGTACAGGGCCAGAGCCTCTTTTTCCGGGAGGTTCGGCCCGGCAGTGGGCAGGCCGCCCGGTTCTCGGTACTGCTGCTGCACGGGATCCGCTTCTCCTCCGAGACCTGGCAGAATCTGGGCACGCTGCTCAGGCTGGCCCAGGCTGGCTACCGGGCTGTGGCCATCGACCTGCCAGGTATTTCTTCTGCAGCAGGCTTTTGGGCAGAGGTGGTGGGGACCTCCTTGGGGGAGCAGGGCTGGAGTCTGGGGGTCTGGAAGGACTTAGCCAGGCCAGGGCACAGTGCACACTGCAAGAACCCCGGAGCTTCTCTCATCTTGATCCTGATGTCTGGACACTGTCCGGTTGCTCTAACTGTTGCCTAGGGTAGTGTCTCAGAGCCTGTTTCCTCATCTGTAATGTGAGATAACCACACTCCTTTTGGAGGTTAGCTCTCGTGAGAATGGAATGATATCATCCACGTGATTATGTGGCCAGGACCTGACACATAATTGGTGCTCAGCCCATTGGAAGTAAAATATTTTGATAGAGCCATAACCATAGGCTCTGTTGGAAGCCCCGAGGAGTGAGACTGAGTGTCCCAGTGGGTGGCTGAGCCACTACTCATGATCCCAGGTAGAAAGCCCTAAGCTGAGTTCTGGTGGAGGCAGGGGCAGCCCCAGTCTGGCAGTCATAACCTGGACTAGCAGGCCCTGACCCCTGGTGCCCTGTGGAAAGGACTGCATGGCTGACCTGCTCCCCTCTTTGGCCATGGCTGGTATGGTTTCAGTGCCCAAGGGCGGGCCTCCAGGCCCAGATGGGATTGGTTCTGACAGTGGGTTGGGCTGAGCTTCAAGGCTAAAGTCTTGAGCTCATCTTAAGCAGTTAACTCAATTTTCACAACAATCTTTTTTTTTCAAAATATATCTTTATTGATTTCAGAGAGAGGAAAGGTGAGGGAGAGAGAGATAGAAACATCAATGATGAGAGAGTCATTGATTGTGCCCGTAACCTGGGCATGTGCCCTGACCGGGAATCGAACCCCGATCACCTGGATCCCAGGTCTACACTCAACCGCTGAGCCACACCCGGGTGGGCTCACAACAATCTTAAATGGCAGATACTTTTTTCTCCCTTTAACAGGTGGGGAAACTGAGCAGTAGAGAGAGCTGAGGGGACTTCCCCAAAATCACATAGGTAGTAAATGGAAAATTGGGCCTGGGACCCAGCTGTGTTGGACTTCAGAGCTTGGTTCTTTCCAGAGCACTATACTGCTGGGGAGATGGGCACAGACATGAGGGAAATGCCTCATGCTTGCCGCATATATGACAGATCTAGGCTGCTGTAGAAATAAACTCGGGCACGTTGCTGGAACCTGGCACAGGGAGATTGACCTAGGAGGGCTTCCTAGAGGAAGGGACCCTCTCCCGTTTTCCCACTCACCACCCTTCTCTTTTCTCTTCCACACTTAAATTCCTACAGGCCTGGGGCGCTCCAAGGAAGCAACAGCCCCTGCCTCTGTTGGGGAGCTGGTCCCCAGCAGCTTCCTGGCAGCTGTGGTGGATGCCTTGGACCTGGGCCCCCCCGTTGTGATCAGCCCATCTCTGAGTGGCATGTACTCCCTGCCCTTCCTCACGGCCCCTGGCTCCCAGCTCCGGGGCTATGTGCCAGTGGCCCCCATCTGCACTGACAAAATCAATGCTGCCGACTATGCCAGCGTGAAGGTACCCGTGTGTGGGAGGCTATGGGAGGCTAATACGCCCCTTCCAGGAGCAAGGAAAAGTCCCTCTGGGGCCTCTTCTTATTTGGGAGGTAGCCAGTGGGTGGCTTCTGGGAGGAGCTGAACTACCAAACCCCACCCTTTTGGTTTACTTAGCAGATTATTGTGTCAAGCCTTGGGCTAAACAGTGTGCTGGGACAGACACAAATCCATACCCCTGGCCCTTGGGAGCTGGCTCCCCCCACCCCACTGGGTCAGCTTGTCTCTCCCCCCTCATTTGGGGTGACTCCAGGGAGAGACTGAAGTGATAGGGAGGGCTAGTGTGGCAGGTCCCTGTTGACATTGCCACCCTTTCTTTTCTCTAGACCTCAGCTCTTATTGTCTATGGCGACCAGGACGCCATGGGTCAGACCAGCTTTGAGCACCTGAAGCAGCTGCCCAACCACCGGGTGTTGGTCCTGAAGGGGGCGGGGCACCCTTGTTACCTGGACAAACCCGAGGAGTGGCATACAGGGCTGCTGGATTTCCTGCAGGGGCTAGCATGAGGCCCAGCCCTACTGCTTGCCTTTCTGGGGCTCTCACTCTCCATGCACATGCAACAGGGGTGTGTGTGTGTGTGTGTGTGTGTGTCTGGGTGCTTGTCTTTCGGGGTCTGTCTTTTCTTCTTTCTCTTGCAGTGACACACAGAGGAGATGAAATCAAGAGAAAAAAAAATCAGGAATCAAAGAACATGACCTGGTGGAGGGTAACCTGTTAGATGAGCTTCTGCTATAGGCTTTCCCGCTCAGCTCCCACGCCTTGCTCTGCTCTGCCCAGCCCACCCCTCCTACCTCCTACATCCACCCCAGCTGCCCCCGAAGGGCACTCACAGCCCCCATCCTGCCTCTTAGGCCACAGATACATACGTGGCCATATGCACACTTACACAGGTTCCCAAATATGACCCAGCCGCATAGGTACATGCCCCCGACGGACATGCACACTCAGGTGCAGCTTTGCATTGTGTGCACAGACACTCATGCATGTTTGTGCTTCTACACAACACTCGCATAGGCGCCTGTGCCCTCCCACCTTGGGAAGGTGGGGGCCCCAGGGACCAGTGCTAGCAGGGGATCCTCTGCCAGGCTTAGGGTGTGGCCTGCCCTGAACTCCACTCACCCCTAGGTCGCAGCTGACTCCAGATCAGAATTGCCCCCCCAAAGGACAGGACCACCCTTTTGACCCTCAGATATCCCTGCTTTCCCCCCTTCTAGGTGCTCCACACCTTCCCAGGTTATTAGGCCTGTGCCTTCTGAGCCAAGCTGCTTTCCTGCTCCGAGGCTGGGGGGCTGGGGAAGAGAGTGGAAATCGGTGAAATAAAGTGAAGCAGTTAGACCCCTCGGGCTCTTGCAGTCTCCAGAGCGTCGCCCCTCCCCCGCCGCGCGGGCCCAGATGGTCCCCCTGCCCTTTGTCCACCAGGCCAGATGGAGGGGAAGGGAGATTGGATTCCCCTCCCCACCCCCACACCCCCAGGTGCCGAGC